ATCAGAAAATCGCCGGCCTGATTTCTTAAGAACATTAGAGCATCCAAATGGATTGGAACTGGAGATTCCCTATTATCGTTATGGTTTTGCTATCGAAGTACAAGGAGAACAGCATGAAAAATATAACGAATTCTTTCATAAAGGAGATCCTAATAATTTTGTCCGGCAACAAAAGCGGGATCAACTCAAGAATGAATTGTGCGAAGAAAACTGGATTGTTTTAAGGTATGTCTGGTATTACGAAGACCCTTATATAGTTATCCCAGAACATCTTCGAGAATTGGGTCTTATTGAATAAACTCAAAGCTTTAATTTCAGCGTCACAATAAACATATGTAACATCACTTTTTATAGATGTGGAAATTTTTCCGTGATCCGAAACTTTAATGTTGTAGTTTGGAACATAATATCATATATATTGTAGTTATTCATGCTATCCGATCTAAATCTAATAAAAACTTAACGAATCAATTTCTTTAATTGTGGCGAGTCCGGAAATTTACGCATAAAAGACATTTGTTCAGTTGGTGTAGTAATGTCACTACGACATGTTCTATATTTAAAATCCTTTGCGATCCGTTCAACATGCTCCTGCATTGTAATGGCAAATGAAATTACTATTACCGTAAGTGAAATTTCTCATAAACAAGGAAAATATGACATATACCTCTAAGCAATCTAGCCTTTCTAATTCAGAAAAGCCTACGCCACCACGCCGCACAGCCACAGCGCCACGGTTTTTTTGCTGTGTTTTTTTATATACTATACTATACTATACTTTATAGTATAGTATAGTATAGTATATAAAAAAACGGGGGCGGGGACAAATGCAAAAAAAAAACACAGTACACAAAACGCTAATTGTACAAAAAACGCTCTTTACTCAGCTGACGGGAAGACCCTTGTAAACCACTTCACTTCCGCGATGGATGGCGACTCCTGCAAGCGGAATCATAGTCTTGTCAACTACCAGCCTGGTAGTGAGGAATGGCCAGGAACGGTATAAACCGTCATACTCGAGATCCATAGAGTAAGATTCCATGGAATCACCTAATTATTACAGATAATCAATAAACAGTATATATATAAATAAACTCTCATGTAATCTCTTGCTTACCCATGTTTAAAAGTATTACGGCTTTGCCTGGACCACCCTTACTTTGTAATTGTTGATTAATGGATTTCCGAGCCTTTAACTGCACCTTCAGTCTGTCCTTCATTCGTTGTAGTGGTGTACTTCCCAAAGGTTTAAATTCCGAATTCAAGATCGGTACACCGTTTACCATGCATGAAAGGTCCGGTCTTTTTTTGGAACCCGAATTAGAACGGTTTAATGCTAGATCGTATTCTTTCTCACCGACGAAAAATGGGCGAGAAATTGGATAGACGAAACGTAGACAATGTTCTTCTTCGGACAATTTTAACGGAGCAATATTCATAACACTGTCATATCTACGACGTAAAAAATTATATAAGCTACAATCTCATGTATATATTATAAAATCATATTACATACAAGTCATTAAACGCTCGTGCAACTAGTCTATTTAGTTTCGATTTTCCGCCTTCCACAAATGCGTCCATTCCGAGAAAATGGTTAAACGATGCTTCATTAAGAGATGACAAAATGTCCGGTGAAAGTGAGGATTCTTGGACAGTATATGGATTATTTTTTGTAACCTCTTTCCACTCTTGAATTGTAAACAAGGAGGGATACGGACATGGCCA